GAAATTACAGCTCCATCATCCGCGAGCACTGGACTCTTGCAGGCTGTTAGCTAGGGGCAGGACCATCAATACAGCAACCGAGAGAAATAGCTCCAGCTCGGTCGATAGACAGGAGTGTCGTGTCTTGAGACGGATTGTTTTACAAGTCAGTGCCAGGCGCGGTTCCCACAAAGCGCTGTAGTAATGAAACTCCCATTCGCGGTGATTCATGCTCCCCCGCTGGGGCCCGGGAAGGACCGGCACTGCTTGGGTCACCGGAAACTTCGGACTAGGGCTCCGAGATGAGACAGGGAGCTCTTTTTTACCTCCCGACTAGCAGTTCCCAGCTGTCTTTCTTCGACTCCTACGGCAGGAAATTAAAATGCAACGAACTGTTGAAATAGGATCCCCGGGAGATAAAGAATAAGGATAGAGTCCCACCTGATAAAAAAAAAGAGGGAAAGGCTGAGTCTGAAAGAGAGTGAAATGAGAAAAATATCTTTGGGAACAATCTCGAATACAGTGTCAGATTGACACATCATAACTAAATCAATTCCTCTCCAGTAAACACCCCAAACAGTAATAAGCCTGAGAAACATCCTGTGATTAGGGGGCATTTAAAAATTCATGACTGTCAAGTTTAATTTTTACTTTATCGGGAAGGTGACAATCTCGTGAAATCAACTGGTTACCTGGCATGATTTTCTTCAATTAGTTTGTCATGCTGGCTTTTAATGAAGTGAACGTGTTTTTTGGTTTAATTTTCATCGGTGTCAGGGAAGTTTAGAAAATGCAGAAGGTTTAGAAAATGCCAAATTGCTTAGCAGCACAATTTAGCCTATCTATAAATATATCAAATGTTATAAGAACCAAGCCACCAGAGATGCACACTCGTGTTTGCTAATCTTTACTTAGCAGTGGTGACTAACAATTTAGCTATCTTAATAACTATATAATGTTTGAATAACTTCATATAAATTCCTAAGTATGTGACATAGGCAGGCAAGGTTCTTTGGGTAGACATGATATCTTTTATTAGACCAAATGAGCAGATGGAAAAAAGTCCTTTGCAAACTTTTGGGTGCAATCACCCTTCTCCATAGGAAGTCAACATTTGTTAGAGGAGGAAACATTATATGTACCTTCACTTTTCTCCTTTAAACCCTTGGCCTACACAGAACTGCTATCAGTATAAGTACAGCAGTACCCTAAATATCTATCAGAGTTCCGGGTTAAATCATGAGTTTATGCTTTATGCCTTGTTGCATGGTGACCACATATGGTGGGGATAAGAAAAGACAATGTCAATAATTAATCATTAGTATTTAGATATGTCTTACTTACGGGTTGCCAGTGTATCTCAGGTACCATTTTCATGCTAACAAGCACCACTTAAAATCCACAGCAGAGTTAGCTTCCAAAGAATTGGCTGTTTCTAAAACAAAAAATCATACCTCCTGCTAAGAGATCATTTTGAGCCAGTTTAGTACAACAGAATAAGCACAGGACTGGCAGGCTGAAGTCCCTGACATTAAATCCGTATTCTGCCACAGGCCCCTTGTGTAGCTTTGGGTAAGTAACTTAGGAAATAATTGTCAAGCGCCCACTGATAACAAGTGCTTTCATTTTCTGGTGTTTAATTGAAGGCACTTATAGAATGATTTTCAGAGTTCCTGAGCATTCACGTCTCAAAGTTAAGTCATTTTGGGGGGCATCAGAAATGAATGGACTTTAATGACTGAGACAGGGCATAGGAACAAGATCGAGTCAGAAACAGAAAGTTTTCCTGAAGAATTTGCCCCCCTTTCAGATCAAATTTTTATCAGCTCTAGTCTTTCTTTCAGTGATTCTTTGTAACAGGTTTAGAGAAGCTAACTGAAATGCCTAGAGAAATCCTGCAAGAAAAATTACCTCATACCATGCAAGTTGGTTGTGAGCTATTTAAGTGTAGCCACACCTTAGAAAGTCTATTTACAATAGTAATGTTATTGAATTTTAGAAAGTCTATTTTAAATAGTAATGTTATTGGATTATCTCATGGCTTCATAAAATGAGAATTCTTCTTTGCTTCTTAAATATGTGAAATAAAGAATATTTTAACAATATTTGAACAGCCACAAAAGGAACGTCCCTGATTTGTATTCATTTTGGAAACAGGGAGTACTACAAACTTGATGACGTTGGGCAACTCATTTATTATATATCTATTGGCGAAAAAGAGACAGAAGTGCCACAACATGATTGGAATGAGAAAGAGAATATTCCTTGTTACCAGTTTATTCAGCCAGTAGTACGCAACATTTGGTTTTAAGTTTTTTCATTCACTAGCCTGAGAGACACCTCTATTTCATCAGCAGCAGTAACCTTAAACTAATAGGCTTTACTCAGGTGCCACGTAAATCAATGCTTTTAGTTTACAGTGGACAGACATGCTGTTGTGTCTACTATGTGCTCACTTTTCATTGTAGTACTTAATACTGGGAGAAGTTCCAAACAGGTGTAACATTATGTCTGCTTCCTACTGAATACAGCCTCTGGAATTTTCTTTTTTTGAGTCTGTAGAATAAAATCTACAGATGTTAGCTCTATTTCCTTGTGTTAAAATTCTTCCAAAGAGCAGTTCCTTTAGAGTATGCAATAGCTAATGCATGATCCAAACATTTTGCACAGAAATTCCTGGAGGTTTTGGGCAAAGGATTCACAAAAGTCAGTCTCTGAGGTTTTCTGAATGTACCCTGTCAATGCTGCTTCCCTTAGGGATAGAGGATGGAGGCACGCTTTCTTGTAAGTTCCAGTGGGAAATGGATGTACCATTTCTGCACATAATCTGTCACAAAGTATATGAATCAATAGGGATGTTACTTTGAATCTCACATCCAGTGTCCCTCTATCACGTTAGCCAAACATCTCTACCCCAATAGAATAAGGAGGTATGCTGTCATTTGCATAGCTATTAGCATGGGAACAGAAACTTTCTATTTAACTAGAAAGCTATCAATGATTATACTACCAGTGTTTGCATCAAACATTTGTATTTTGTACTTGGATACTAGTAAGCTGCAGTTAACTATTTTTGTTTCATGTGCAGTCTTACATTATTATGGATTCCCAGTTAAAAATATTGTTAGTCTCAGGGTGAGAATCTTACCCCTATTCCATTTCTTTTATGTCAGGAGATTCCAAAAGAAAATAAGTATATAGCATAGCTTAACATAAGCCTTGAGGAAGCACGTTCTACTTCTTTGCGCTGGCCTGGGGGAATCTGGATCTGTAACTTTAGCAGCCAAAATTACATCCTATAAATACTATCCATCACACCTGGTGCAGCTCTGTGGGGAACAGCAGTAGAAGCTGTTTGTAAGTCATCTCTACATGGATGTGGTCCTAAGGAACTACATAGAGAAGCCCTAGTTGGGCAACTGTGATGGTAGTCAGAAGAGTGTTTTGGCAGCTGGAGACCACTAAAATACAGTGACATGTAGCCACACCTTTATTTTCCCAATCATATTATTGTTTGGAGCTGGAAGAGAACTGGCAGAGGAGCTGGTGCACTGGGTTTACTTCTTGTTAGGGCAATATCCCTTTACCTATTTAAAGCAGCATTGAATGATTTGCACTCAAAGAGTGCGTCCAGATGAGCAGGAATGTGTGCTTCCTTGAAGACAAGTAGCAGTGACATACCTTGTGTCACTGCTACTTATCATTGAGGAATTCCCGTACCACGTCACCAGGGAATGCCCATACCATGTGTGCTCCGGCACACAGTAGGTTACCCCAGGTGGGGTATTGGAAGCTGGGGCCAGAATCTCTCCCATCTACTTTAAAAGAGCAGCCTGAATTTGTAATTGCATTAGACAAAGTTCTCTCTCCCAAATAATTTTTCCTAACTGAAGATAACAAAATAAATCATCCTAATAACAGGTGTTATGTAATTCTAGAAATGCTGACTAGCATAAAACAGCTTCTTGGCTGAATTAGTTTTTACTGTTTGCTAATTAAGATTATTCATCTACTTATCATTAAGCATTCACATTTTTCTTAGAACTGCAAGTCATAAAACTAGTTTAACATAAAGTAATTCAGTTTTCAGTAGTTGACTATATATACCAGATTCCAGTAATTTGAAAGTTAGCAGTATCTGTACATTTTCTAAAATGAGTATTAGTGATCCATTCCAGTGTTCATGGAGATCTCCTGAACATTTAATTCATATTCTTTAACTTATCATTTAATATAATTCAGCTTTTTGGTCCCTTGAATAAATTATAGTTTTTGCTTTTTTCCACTAAAATATAGAATAGCCTGGAATACTATGAGCTAGA